GGCGGCGAGCCGCGATGGCCGAGGGCAGCCGCGACTCGCACTCCTTGATCTCGGCCTGCTCGACCGTCGAGATGGCCGCTGGCCGGTCCCCCGCTCGCGCCAGGAGGGGGGGCACCTGCCCTGAAGTTCAAGCAGCGATTCACGCCTCCGCTGGCGGCGTGGGGCTGAACTGTGCTCGCGCTGCCCCTGCCACCGCCGCCTAGAGCGCCTGGACTCGGAGGGCGCCAACTATACACCAGCACCGATCCTGGCCCAGGATCACCCTGGGCCCAGGATCGGTGCATATGCCTTCTTGCGCAAGGCAGGAGGGCGTATACACGGATCCTGGGCCCAGGGTGATCCTGGCCAGGATCGGTGTTGGTGTATAGCTGGTGCCTTCTTATCGGCGAGCTCCTCCTGCTGCTTCTCGTGGTCGGCGACGCGGCTGTCCAGCCGCTCCACCCTGCGAGTCGCGCTCTCCGCTCGGCGGCGAGCCGCGATGGCCGAGGGCAGCCGCGACTCGCACTCCTTGATCTCGGCCTGCTCGACCGTTGAGATGGCCGCTGGGCCGATCCCCCGCTCGCGCAGGACGGGGGGCACCTGCCCGAAGGACGGGTCCCATCCGTCTCCGCTGGCGGCGCGGGGCTGAACTGTGCTCGCGCTGCCCCTGCCACCGCCGCCTAGAGCGCCTGGACTCGGAGGGCACCAATTATACACCAGCACCGATCCTGGCCCAGGACCACCCTGGGCCCAGGATCGGTGCATATGCCTTCTTGCGCAAGGCAGGAGGGCGTGTGCACCGATCCTGGGCCCAGGGTGATCCTGGCCAGGATCGGTGTTGGTGTTATGTGGTGGCCCGTCCTATTGGCGAGCTCCCTCCTGCTGCTTCCGTGGTCGGCCGGACGCGGCCTGACAGCCAGCTCCACCCTGCGAGTCGCGCTTTCCGCTCGGCGGCGAGCCGCGATGGCCTGAGGGGCTTGCAGCGCGACTCGCAACTCCTTGATCTCGGCCTGCTCGACCGTCGGAGGATGGCCGCTGGGCCGGTTCCCCGCTCGCGCAGGACGGGGCGGCTACCCTTTGCCCGTAGGAACGTGGTCCCATTCCGCCTCCGCTGGCGGCGAGGGGCCAGGAAACTGTGCTCGTGCTGCCTGCCCCGCCGCCTAGAGCGCTGGACTCGGAGGGCAACAACTATACACCAGCACCGATCCTGGCCCAGGGTCACCTTGGGCCAGGATAGGTGCATATGCCTTCTTGCGCAAGGCAGGAGGGCGTGTGCACCGATCCTGGGCCCAGGGTGATCCTGGCCAGGATCGGTGTTGGTGTATAGCTGGTGCCTTCCTATTGGCGAGCTCCTCCTGCTGCTTCTCGTGGTCGGCGACGCGGCTGGCCGGCCGCTCCACCCTGCGAGTCGCGCTTTCCGCTCGGCGGCGAGCCGCGATGGCCGAGGGCAGCCGCGACTCGCACTCCTTGATCTCGGCCTGCTCGACCGTCGAGATGGCCGCTGGGCCGACCCCCCGCTCGCGCAGGACGGGGTGCACCTGCCCGAAGGACGGGTCCCATCCGTCTCCGCTGGCGGCGTGGGGCTGAACTGTGCTCGCGCTGCCCCTGCCACCGCCGCCTAGAGCGCCTGGACTCGGAGGGCACCAACTATACACAGCACGATCCTGGCCCAGGATCACCCTGGGCCCAGGGATCGGTGTATATTTTGCCTTCTTGCGCCAAGGCAGGAGGGCGTATTACACCGATCCTGGGCCCACAACGATTCTGGCCAGATCGGTGTGGTGTTAGCTGGTTGCTTCCTATGGCGAGTATCATGCCTGCTTCCTCGTGGTCGGCGACGCGGCTGACCAGCCGCTCCACCCTGCGAGTCGCGCTCTCCGCTCGGCGGCGAGCCGCGATGGCCGAGGGCAGCCGCGACTCGCACTCCTTGATCTCGGCCTGCTCGACCGTCGAGATGGCCGCTGGGCCGATCCCCCGTTCGCGCAGGACGGGGGGCACCTGCCCGAAGGACGTGTCCCATCCGCCTCCGCTGGCGGCGTGGGGCTGAACTGTGCTCGTGCTGCCCCTGCCACCGCCGCCTAGAGCGCCTGGACTCGGAGGGCGCCAACTATACTCCGCACCGATTCCTGCCCAGGATCACCCTGGGCCCGAGATCGGTGTATTCGCCCCTTCTTGCGCAAGCAGGAGGGCGGTTATACACCGATCCTGGGCCCTGGGTGATCACTGGCCAGGATCGGTGTTGGTGTATAGCTGGTGCTTCCTATTGGCGAGGCTTCCTCCTGCTGCTTTTCTCGTGGTCGGCGACGCGGCTGACAGCCGCCTCCACCCTGCGAGGTCGGCTCTTCAGCTCGGCGGCGAGCCGCGATGGCCGAGGGCAGCCGCGACTCGCACTCCTTGATCTCGGCCTGCTCGACCGTCGAGATGGCCGCTGGGCCGATCCCCCGTTCGCGCAGGACGGGGGGCACCTGCCCGAAGGACGTGTCCCATCCGTCTCCGCTGGCGGCGTGGGGCTGAACTGTGCTCGTGCTGCCCCTGCCACCGCCGCCTAGAGCGCCTGGACTCGGAGGGCACCAACTATACACCAGCACCGATCCTGGCCCAGGATCACCCTGGGCCCAGGATCGGTGTATATGCCTTCTTGCGCAAGGCAGGAGGGCGTATACACCGATCCTGGGCCCAGGGTGATCCTGGCCAGGATCGGTGTTGGTGTATAGCTGGTGCCTTCCTATGGGCGAGCTCCTCCTGCTGCTTCTCGTGGTCGGCGACGCGGCTGACCAGCCGCTCCACCCTGCGAGTCGCGCTCTCCGCTCGGCGGCGAGCCGCGATGGCCGAGGGCAGCCGCGACTCGCACTCCTTGATCTCGGCCTGCTCGACCGTCGAGATGGCCGCTGGGCCGATCCCCCGCTCGCGCAGGACGGGGGGCACCTGCCCGAAGGACGGGTCCCATCCGTCTCCGCTGGCGGCGTGGGGCTGAACTGTGCTCGCGCTGCCCCTGCCACCGCCGCCTAGAGCGCCTGGACTCGGAGGGCACCAACTATACACCAGCACCGATCCTGGCCCAGGATCACCCTGGGCCCAGGATCGGTGTATATGCCTTCTTGCGCAAGGCAGGAGGGCGTATGCACCGATCCTGGGCCCAGGGTGATCCTGGCCAGGATCGGTGTTGGTGTATAGCTGGTGCCTTCCTATTGGCGAGCTCCTCCTGCTGCTTCTCGTGGTCGGCGACGCGGCTGACCAGCCGCTCCACCCTGCGAGTCGCGCTCTCCGCTCGGCGGCGAGCCGCGATGGCCGAGGGCAGCCGCGACTCGCACTCCTTGATCTCGGCCTGCTCGACCGTCGAGATGGCCGCTGGGCCGACCCCCGCTCGCGCAGGACGGGGGGCACCTGCCCGAAGGACGGGTCCCATCCGTCTCCGCTGGCGGCGTGGGGCTGAACTGTGCTCGTGCTGCCCCTGCCACCGCCGCCTAGAGCGCCTGGACTCGGAGGGCACCAACTATACACCAGCACCGATCCTGGCCCAGGATCACCCTGGGCCCAGGATCGGTGTATATGCCTTCTTGCGCAAGGCAGGAGGGCGTATACACCGATCCTGGGCCCAGGGTGATCCTGGCCAGGATCGGTGTTGGTGTATAGCTGGTGCCTTCCTGTGGACCTCCTTGGCAAGGCCGCCGCCGCCCGGAGGTCCGCTGGCCCGGGGGCCGCGAGAGGCCGCGCCGCGCCCTGCTGCCCGGGCCGGCCGCGGCCGCCGAGGCTGCCGAGGCGGAGCGCGCGGCCTGGGCGATCCCCTGCGGGCGCGCCGCTGCCGCAGCCCCTGCACGTGAGCCTGCTGGCCCAGTTTCGGGTCGGGCGAAAGGGGGGGATTGGGAAAGGGGGGGTTACGAAATTTGCTGCATGCAGCTGGTTTCGGCCTCACCGAGGGGCCAATTCCTCGATACATGGCCGCCTCCGGCGCCGGGAGGCGCCGGGAAAGTCAGCTACGTGAGCTGATTCTCAAACCCCCCCTTTGCTATCCCCCCCTTTCGCCCAGCCCGAACTTGAGCCTGCTGGCCCAGTTCCCTCCTTCTCCGCAGTTGCTGCACCCCCAACGAGGAAACTCAGGAGGGGAAGAAGCACACAGACACAATTCATTGTCGACTCCCCAGAGAATATGGGAAAAGATGGGAACGGGTGGGGAAGACAAAAACCCGGAAAATATGGGGAAGTATGGGGCATGTTTTTATTTGTGTGTATTTACTCGTGTGTCCCAGGTCCCCTTCAGAAACGACGGCCCCAGCATCGCCCCGCTGGGGCTGGCCCATGGCCGACGCTGGTCGACTGGGCCGAACGTTGCGTGAAGTTGGCTCGCAGGCACGACGCCACTTCGAAGTGCGCACCTGCAACGCACTCGAGTGCGAAATGGCTGAGGAGGACGAGGAGGAGGAGGAGGAGGAGGAGGAAGAGGAGGAGGAGGAGGAGGAGGGGGAACAGGAGGTCATGGCTATGTCATCCGCTAGGTCTCCGCCCTGGCCCCGCGTAAGCCTTGATAGGCCCCGGCTGGCGCAACTCCCCCTTCCTCCGGGAGCGGCCGATGGTCAGGGGGGGCAAAACACAGACAGAATTAATCGTCGATTTCCCAAAAGATATGGGAACATATTGGAAGTGGGGGGGAAGGTAGAACCCTCCAAAACATCGGGAAATATGGGACATCATGTTGTTTGTGTCTATTTATTTGTGTGTCCCAGGGCCCCTTCAGTTGGTTGGTTGCCCGCCCGCCACTTTTGCAGGGCGCTAGGTGACGGTTGTGCCTGGGGGCCCGTGTTGGGCGTTGGGGGCTTGTGCCCGCAATTCGTGAAAGAGCGCTTGGAGGAGGAGCAGACTCAGGAGGAGGACGAGGAGAACCAGAAACAGCTTCAGGAGGGGCAAGGGAAGGAACATGAGGAGGACGGGCAGGGCGAGGAGTGACAATGAAAAGTCGGAGGGAGGAGGGGGAGGGAGGAAGGGAGAGAGGGAGGACGGGGATCATGACGACGAGAAAAACCGAGGTTCAACCTGATCGTATTCTTCCTGCACCTGCTTAGCTACATCTACGCTAGGCGAGCCCCCGGTGCCGAAGTCGCTCTCCGGGTACGCGCGTATGAGGAGGATGCAGGACGGCAGTGATTGCGCAGGAGGCGAAGGAAGAGGAGGAGGAGGAGGAGGAGGAGGAGGAGGAGGAGGAGGAAGGGGGAGGACAGGAGGGGAGAAGGCGGGAGCGAGGAGGAATGTAGATGGGCTGTGGAGGAGGGATGGGAGAGGAGGGAAGATAGAGGAGAGAGGGGAGGGATGGATGAGGAGGAGGAGGAGGAAGAGGAGGAGGAGGAGGAGGGAGTAAGTTGCAGGGTTCAGCGTGTAGGGATGGGGCGAGGGGATGGTGCAGGGTGCAAAGAGGAGAGGGGAGGGTGGAGGGAAGGGGGCTTAGATGGAACGAGGAAGAGTAGGATGGAAGAGGTAAGACGCAAGGAAAAGGAGGAGTAGGTGGGGGGAGTGTGAGGAGAGTGGTGAGGACGCATTTTGTCGCTCTTCGCTCTGCTCGCTGTTTCCTCCGTCTTCCCTTTTTTTTTCTCATCGCCCCCCCTTCCGCCTCTTCGTCGTCATGAGACTTCTCCTATGTCTCCTCCTCCTCCTCATCATCATCATCATCATCAGCATCATCATTGCTAGTCGGCGTTGGAGGCTCAGACACTTGAAAAGCTGACGGAGACAGGATTTTTATTGAAATTCTCTCACACGACTACCGCCCAGCACTTGCACGGGTCAGAGAGGGAGCCAGGCGGGCATGGCAGATGGGTGGCGGTTGCAGTGTTCTCGATATGTGCATTGATGAAATTGGTTTCCACCAGTCCGTTGGCAGCGAATACCACCGACAAGTTGGAAGAAATTTGCAGTGCACGACGAGTGTGGGATGTGATTGTGCTGACAGGGACGCATCAGTGGGCAGGGCCAGAGCAGATGAGAAAAACGAGTCAAAGATATCATGTGGCACTGCAGATCGGGGCAAAGAAGGGGAAATGGATCACCGAGTCATGCGGTCCGGTGCTCCTGGTGTCCAACGAGATGATGAAAAACAAGGCCTTCCACGCGCAGTGTACACCACCGGCACAACTGCAAGGAATAGCTGCAGGGGCTAGGCTGCGCACGAAAGCGCACGACGTCACAATCTTCGCGACGTACTTGCCGCCGGAGAGAGGGCACGCATACAATGGAAGGATCTCAAACATAACTATGAAGTGGGTGGAAGGAGTGTGATGACACGGGTGGCACATTTACTATCATAGTGCGAGGGGACATCAACAGCCACGTGGGAATGCACAGGTCAGACAGCAGGGGGCCGGTGGTAAGCATATACAGCTCGGGCAAACATGCGGCAGCATTGGGGCAAGTAGCCGGGGGGGTGGAGAATGACAGCAGCGCCGCTTTCATGGAGCTTTGCTTCCACAGCCTACTGTGAGTAGTCACGACTTTCTTCGATTCTGGGCCAACGCGTGAAAGACGAGAAGATGAGTCGACCAAAAGTGAGACGGCACCACCCCGCCTACAGCACGACGGTATTGGAATTTCGAGCACCTGCCCCGTGCGGCCTCGGCCTGCCATCGCGAAGACTCCGCAGTGGCGCCGGGAAGCCGCCGCGCCGCCCCCGCGCCGAACGCCGCCCAAGCACCGTTCGCAGCAGCAGCGAAATTGGTCCCACGCGCTGGCCGCGCGAGATTCCCAGTTATCGAGTATACGCCGCTAGCCTCGCACCGCACCCAATGGCGTTGCGCGGCGGCACGCTGCCGCCACTCGTCGTCTTGCCCGACCCGGCGACGCGCGCAGCGCGCAAGCCGCTGGCGTTTTCCATAACTTTGGACGCCCGAAATGAGCACTGAAAGAATTGATACAATGCCCAACAACAAATGTTGTCCCAAACCAACAGCGGCCGCTGTTGGGCAGGCGGCCCTCTGTCTCAAATGGGCGCAGGCCGCGGCGGCGTGGACAGCAAGCCCTGTTCGAAGTGAACAGGAACTGCCGCTGGGCATTGCGCCCATTATTCCCGTGCCCATGTCGGGCGTCCAAAAGAACAGCGTCGCCGCGCCCCGCCGCGCTGATATGCAGGGCGCTTGCGGCGCTCGTCGCGCTGGCCAGCGGCGTGGCGCTAGTCCCCGCCGCCTTCCCACGCGGTGGAAAGGGGGGGCGTCGCGCTGCGCGTCGCCGCGCTGATCGGCGCCGCGACGACGGCGCCCGCCGCGGCGATCGAACTCGCATTGCTGGCGTCCGTCGTTCGGGCCCTTGGTGACAGTCGAAATGGAATTATTGCGCTCGGTCGAGCTGCTCGGTGTCGGGCCGTCTCGCGCCCGTCGCGCTGCCTTACGCCGCGGTCGCGGCGCCCGATGGCCCGCTCTTTTTGTTGCGCGGCCGCGCCGAGCGCGGCTCGCTTCAGATTTCCCCCGCGGGGGCGAGTCATGGCCAGCTGTCGCCAGTGCCCGCCGCGGCGCCTGCCGATGGATATCCGCTGCGCCCGTCGCGCCGCCTGGCGTCGCGCCGGGGGCGCGCGTCGCGCGGCCCTCCGGTGCCCGTCGAGCGGCTCAGCGCCGCGCCGGCGGCGCCAGTTGCGCATGCAGCCGCGGGGCGACGCGGCATGGGCCAAACTGGCAGCGGAGGGCGGATGGGGCGAGCTGCAGGCGGGGTACGAGGAGCGCGAGAAGACGGAAAAAACGGCGGCAGCGCCCGCGGCGTCCGCGCCGCCGCCATCGCCGCGCGCGCCCGCGGCTGGCGCTGCATAGCTGCTTGCGGCGTTTTTTGACAAATCGGGGGGCAAAGAGGGCGGGGGCAATCGCGCGGCGGAAGCAGAGGGGGGGCAGGATGGAGAAACAGGGGCGGGGGGGGGCGGGAGCTACGAAGGCGAAGCCGATAGAAGGAATGGGAGAGCGGGGGGGGGGGCGAGGCGCGGGGGGGCGGGCGGGCGGGCGGTGCGAGGAGAAGCCAGGCGCGCGATCGACGGGCAGGCGGGGGGGGGGAGGCAGGGGGCGCGAGGAATTGGGGGGCGCAAAGGAACGAATGGGGGCAGGGATAACGCCAAAGAGAAGACCGAAGGAGGACGGGGGATGGGGGGGGGGAGGGGGGGGGCGCGACGCAGACCGCGCGCGATGCGGTGGGCCCCGTCAATGGCCAGGAGCACGATCTCTCGCTCACCGCGCCCGCGGGCGATATCACCGAGATCTACGCAATGGTTTCGACGGGGCCGCCCGCGCAGGCGATTGGAGTTTGCGAGGCAATCTCGGGGCGCCCAGGGGCGCGGCGCCAGTCGGCCTGCGGCGAAAGCGAGGATATCTCGGATCGCCCATGGGCCCAAGCGAGAAGGATAGCGGAGCAGATCACAGCCGCCACGCAGCGTCTCGAGCGAAGCTGGAGAGAGGAGGATGGAGCTTGAACCCAGCCAAAACTAATCGCCTGGCATCCCTTCGAAGCCTGGGGCGAGACGTGACCGCGCGACAGCTGCGACGGGAGAAGAAGATCAAGGGCACGCCGATGAGGGAGATGAGCACTGGGGCCATGCCTACTGGGAGACCAAGGCTACGCGGGAAAGATCAGCGGGAGATGTGAGACCATGCCGGTTGCTTACAGGCAACGTGAATTATGCTGGTCTCTTGATGCCACCGGCAAGATAAATAAGGAGATGTTCTAGGCGTTTGTTCCGAAAGCAGGCCTGAGCGGATTGACGGCGCTTGTACTTGAGGAGCGACGCTTGAAACAACTCGACAGTAGTGTGAATATTCTTTTGGGAAGAATGGCAGAAGGCAGGGTGGGTCGGGCAGAGGAAGATGGCAGGGCCAAGTGTTGCGCCAACGAGGAGGTGTTCAGGAGATGGAGGATACCGCGCTGCTCAACAGCGCAGAGGATCCGCAGGCTGCGATGGCGTAGGCAATGGGCAAAATATCCCCGGGGCTTTGGCAGTGCGCTGGCAGAGGTTTCTGGCGCGTCGCAGCTGGGCCGCCACTGCGAAGTCAGGAGATTGGAGAATGGGGGAGTATGCGAAGCATCTCCACCCTGGGCAAAGCGGGTTGCCAGGGATTTCCAGGCCTTGGCGGAGGTCAGCGAGGGCGTCGCAAGCTGGTCCCCGCGGGGGCAGTCAGATATTCCAATGTTCCAGAAGGGCGCGGGAGACTAAGAGGCTTGGAACAGGGGCGGGCCCAAGTATTCTACGCCATGCAGGAACAGCCTGAGATACAATGTTACCAGTAATTATGGCTGGGGCACTGGGGCTGAGGGGGAGGCGCGCGGTGCGAAGTTTTCCGCGGCGGCGGCGCTGGCAGCGAGGGCCGCGGAAAGCAGCGGGATGTGCTGCGGAAACAGAAGCTGTTGGAATCACCCAGTCCAGGAGCCTCCTTCCCTAGTCTGCGCCCTCCGTGGCTTTCAAGTTCAAATTTCGGGAATTTTCAGGCGCGCGCTCGCTGCCGCCACCCCGGGCCGCGCCGCGTGAAAGATGGCGATTGGCCCGCGGGGGCTGCCCCCCGCCCAGAAGAGGGGCAAGCGCGGAGACACTGCGAGGGCGCATAGGGGAAGGCCAATACCTTTCAAATGCCAACGGCTTACGGAAGGGGCCAGCGCCAAGGCGGCGGGCAGCCCGCCAGCCGCCGCGGCCGCGGCGACGGGGGTGGGCGGCAAGGGCGGGGGGGCGAGGGCGTGGCCCCCCCGCCAGCAGCCGCGCGCAGCGGAAGATTACGAGGAGTTCGACCCCAGCGCCTTGCCCTCCGTTTGGAATCAGAGACCAGGGGGATGATCCACATGACGCCAGACTTCTTCTTCATTTCAGTCAGCAATTGGGCGTTTCTGAAGTCGCTGGCAGCGGGGCAGAACCACGGGAACCAGGTCAGGGGGAGGGGGGGGGGGGGGGGCAAGGGGCACAAGCTGGGCCAGCCAGGCATGCGCACGGGGATGGCGCCCATGGATTGCACCCAGGAGATGGCGTCGGATCAGCAGAAAACAGATCCAACAGCAATGGCGGCATCGATAGATCCGGCAATGGACGGTTTGAGCGACTTCCTGAGGTGGTGGGAGACATCGGCGAGCGCAGCCAGGCCATGGCCGCAGCGACGATCAAGATGTGCAATGTCAGCGAGAGCCACAGGGCGCGCAACAACAATAACGAGAACCCGAACGAGGACGAGCAGGAGTTCTGGGGGGCGGGCTCAGGCAAAATCCAGATCGGCATCAACGGGCCGCCCAATTCGGGGCAATGTTCCCGAAAGACATGAAAGAACAAACCACGGCGAAACTGGGCCAGCTTGCGGGCCGCAACCTGAGGGCGGCAGTGGGGGCGTTGATCGTCTACGTGGGAGGCGAGAAGTCCCAGTCGGCAGCGCCCGCGTCGGAGCTGGAGAGGATGGCGGGGCGGGAACTACAGCGTTCGCACCGCTGAAGGCGGAAAGGGCAGTTGCATCGGCGAGGTTATTTCGGGGTGCAAAGACCCCGGGGCAAGGTGCCATGCCGCGGCCGTCGCGGACAAGCACTTTCACCGCGCCTCCGACGGCGCCGCGTCTGCGCCGAGAGCGCCGCGAGCCCCCCTCCGGGGCAGCTGGGCATATCCGGCGCGTCCAACAGCGCACAGACTGAGAGGGAGAGACATCGATCTTGCGATGAAAGCATAGCGGAGTCAATCAGCATGGACATTGAACGCCTCGCTACGCTCAGACGTTTTGCCCTGCATGGGAGGATAGACGGCGTGGCCTTAAAGTTTCGAGCAGCACGGGATGCGGAGTTGCAGAGAAATCCCAGGGAAAGGCCTCCCTGGCAATAGCCAGCTCACCCGCCCTTGTCAGTAACCGACATCATCGACCATGACGGCACAATACTTCTCTTCTCAAATCTATCCATTACAGATACGGAGAGATGGTAGGCGGGATAGTTTACATGCAGTGCAGGATGCGCACAATGTAGAGACGGGTCACGGTCAGTGGGGGAAACGAGACCAGCATGCAAGGTACTGCGCGAGTATCGGGGCAGATCGGCAACTCACTGCCGCCTCCATCGACCATATTTGGATCCCACAGCGGAGTTGGCTCAACGACGGCTTCTCGGAGTGCGTAGCGCGGGGGGGGCACCCATTGCCTTCGCGGGCAGCAGCCAGCTCTGGCCCTGCCGGCGTTGCAGCTGCGGCCCTGCTGGCGAGAGCCACAGGGGGCGCGCGAGAAATGCGCCTGGCCATGAACAAGATCACGGCGGCAAAGGCAGTCACTGGAAGAGAGTGCCCACCGACTGTGGGCTGGAGCCGAGGCAGGACGAGCGGTGCGAATGGAGCGATGAAGAAAAGACACGACATGGAGAGAGCAGCGTATCTCGAGAGAGCAGGTCTGCCGAGAAGAGAGCAGGCAAGCAGACAGAGCCGCTCGGGCAGCCCAATCCTTGGGGCGGATGAGCGCGGCGCAAGCGTTTTTGGCGGAAGAAGGAGGCCCAGAAGAAAAGTCTTGCATTGCAAGGGGCACGTTGGCCCTGAAGAAGCCAAAGGAGATGGCAAAGGGATTGCTAAAGGGCATCAAAAAGAATGGAGGCGCCGTTGCAGCCGTTAGCAAAGTAGGAGGAAGCATGGCAGGGCATTCCGATGCGCCGAGAAATGCGACGCCCTGCTCGACGAGTGCATGGCCATGGGCATCAATGTCGAAGATGCACCGAAGGCAGGAAACAACAGAGTTGGAGGAACCAGAGAAAGAGCTGCACGAGATGGGTGACTACAAGACGGCGATGAACATTAGGAAAACGAGCAGTCGGCGCACCCCCACGGCGCCGGGCGTCGCAGACAAGCGGAGCGACAACATGCAGCTGTTCAGCTCGCGCAGGAGGAACGCAGGATTGGGCGAAAAGAATGGCGGTGCCCACTCGCGCGGGCGCGCCTTCCCAAAACAACTAGCGGCGGAAAGGCCCCAGCCCCAACTCGAGAGGGGGCGAGTGGCAGGTCTGGTGCAAGGTCGACTGGCCGCAGCTCGTCAAGGCGCAGGAGAGCCAGCCAGAAGATGAGCTCACGCAAGAGCGGGTGGACAAGATGAACGGCGATTCCGGCGCTGACTGGGAGGGGTGGCCTGGCGTCGGGCGCAAATCGAAGTTCCTTCCGTTCAAGAGTGGGCCGCCAATGGCGGTGGAGAGCAAGGCGGGGCGCGGTTGGGTTCGCAGCGGAAGCGCTGCCGCAGCAGCTAGACGACGCCATCCAGGAATGCCGCTGCAGGCTCTACGATGCCGTCCGGGAAATGAGCCCAGGGGAGTTTGTTCGAGCTGATCCCCGCTTCCTTCCCGGCGACGCACAAGGTTGAAGGTTGCGATCTCATCGCAAGGTATCCTGTGGGCGCGTGGGCAAGGCTTGGGGGGAAGGCCTTCACTGAGCAGAGCCAGTGTGAGTCGGCGCTGCAGATTTCGATTGACGACGAAGAGATCCTCGACAAGGGCACGAAGGTCGCCATCGAGGAGCTGAGCGACGAGGACAATCTCGACCCGGAGGAAGTGAGAAGGCTCAAAGAGCACCAGAAGCTGCGAGACAGCGCGCAGGCCCTGCTGGATGGCATCGAGACCTTCGAGGACAAGTTCGCCTACCCTACGTCGGAGGAGACGACGGCGGCCAGTTCCTCCAGCGGCCGCCAGCGAGAGCACCCACTGGGGCCCACTGGAAAGCCAAGCGATGAATTTGCGAGGTGTTCTCGGAGCGCTGCTCTGGGCAAGCTGGGCGGGCCCACTGGCGAAGCCAAGAGAATCGTTAGCGAGGTTATCTCGGAGTGCTACCCTAAGTAAACAGGACGGGCGACTGCAGAGCGCTCGCGCTGACATCGCCATGAGAAGCGCCTTCTCGGCGCGCCGACAGGTACATTGCTGCAGGGCGATGCGCGGGGAGGAAACTCATGATCGCGAAGACCACCTGGAAGCATTCTCGACGGCCCCGCCTACAACATGCCGCGACTACCAGCATGCTCTACCCCGCGCACACTTCGAGAGGGTACAGTGGGATACTTCAACAGGGTATCAGAGTATAGGTACGACAACGCATGGGACAACGATCGGCCACTTCGAGGTGCAAGAGAAGGGAGCCGAACGAAAGATTAAATACAATGATATCGCGCACTTAGTAGGTTAGCCAGGCCCCTCTGCAAAAGTTTGGGAAGCACGGGCCTCCCGACCCCCCCCCCTCCTTCTGAGTTATCGTGTCGTCGTTTCCTCCTCCCTAGCTTGGGCCCGCTGCTAAGCCCGCGCGCCCCCGCCCCTAGGGCGCGCGGAAGGGCCAGTAGCTGCTCCCACCGCAGTGACCCGCAGGGACTCGCAATCGCAAGGTCGCGAGCCTCTCTTCCGGGGCGACCCCGGAGCTCATTCCTTGAGCAACGGGGCGTGCCCCCTGCCTGCCCGAGTGAGAAGTCAGTGCCGTTGCACAACCGATCGCAAGTAATTTCGCCAGAAACGCGCAAGGCACCAGCGCAAGTGTTTTGACGTTCGACCCCCTTTTATGGGGATGTCCTGTCCTGTCCTCATCATTGTTGTCACGCTCGCCCTCTCCATGTTCCTTCTCTCTATTTCCTCATCTTCTTCACCCCCATGGTTTATATCTTCCGCTTATTTCCATGACCTTTCTTCCCTCTGCCCCACTCCCTCCTCCACCTCCGCGCCCCCCCCCCCTGCGTTCCCTCTTTACCCCCCGCTCCTTGTTTCCCCCCCGTCCTTCTCTCCCACTCCTCGTGTCTCTGCTCCAACCTCGTCCTCACCCTCCCAGGGTCAATTTCGATCCGATCGATCCGACCCGATGTCGATTTTGGCTGGCCCGATCCGGTTCGATGATGTTTTCCCGCCGATCCGAGGCGACCTTGCGGTTGCGTTGCCTTGTTGTGCATACTGGTGCAGCCGAGTTGGTTCCAGTTCGACTTCGTGCCGATGCGTTACGACTCGATGCGCGCTCCGACTCGACCCGGCTTTCGGGTCCAATGCAGATTCAGTTGCCCTCTCTTTTGCTCTTGCCTCCGTCCCCCTCCCCCCGTCCCCCTCCTCCCTTCGTTGCGTCCGCGTCGCCAACGTGCTTACAGTCGGACCGAGGTCTGAAATCGAGGTCGGTTCGGGGAGGGTGCCCTGATGTTTTTCGTACCTGTTTGACGCTATTGTGTATACTTGTCGAGGGTGCCTTCACACGATCTGAGGGCTTGGGATGGTTTGACCGGTGGAGGGTCGCATGTTCTTGAACGATGTTCTTTTGTCCTAGATTTGATTGTATCCTGTCTATCCTCCTTATCGTCCCCTCCCCCACTCTTCGCGTCTGTGCTCCAACCTGCTCCTCATGCTCCCTGCCTCTGTCCCACGCTGCCCCCCCTCCCCTCCCTTCCCCCTCCTCCCCCCCCTCCCTCCTTGACTTCCCCCCTCCTCCCCTTCCTCCCCCCCTTCCCTCCCGCACCCTCTCCCCCTCCCCCCCCTCCCCCTCCCACTCCCCCGTCTCCCTCCCTGCCCTTCCTCCCTCCCCCCACCCACCCATCGAGGTTTCTCCAGGGGCTGACAGCCAGCCTCCTGCTGCTCCCGCAGCAGGCGCAGCAGGCGGTATGACGAGCCGCGCCCCGCGCCCCCCGCCCCCCCGCTGGCCGGGGCGCGCGGGAGCTGGCGGCGAACAAAAGGCGTCTCAGGGAAGGATCGGGGATGGTGAGATGAGGGGAGCCCAAACGTGATCGCATCGTTACAAGACAATCGGGACGGAATTAGTTTGTTAATTTCGGCCTCCGGGGGCCCTCGCCAGGCCCCGGGGCCGTCAAAAAGGACTGAGGGCGAAAAACGGGTCCTGGGGAAAGGGTCGGGACTTGCAGGGACCGCGCATTGAAAACAACAGGGCGCCGATGTTTGGGAAGGTACTCCAGATTTCGTAATAAAAGGGAGGGGGTCTGGACCCTCCAGGACAAGCCATTTCAGACCTCCCCCGTGGGAGAACCCTCCAAAACATCGTCCCCAGACCCCCCCAGGCCCTCCAAGGTAGCCTGGAAGAGACCCCCCCCCTAAATGAGACCCCCCTCCCTTTATTACGAAATCTGGAGTAAGCTGCTTTGCAGCTTCTGTTCCTCGAAGCCTCCCCAGGGTGGCCAAGCCGCCCATCGACGTGGACCGGAGGCGCACCCAGCACGAGGGCCGCGACGAGAGCGAAACGGTGGCGCGAGTCGGCGAGATGACTCAGACCGATCTGGAGTGCCCCGATGCCGCTGCGCTTGCCTCGCTTTCTCGCCCCTCTGGGCCTCCTGGGCGGCCCGTGTCGCCGCCGCTGGGTCCGCGGGCGGCCCCGCCGGCCAGACCGCGCGGGGGCCGGCGGCGAGCAGTGCGTCCGAGAGGAGGGCGCGATCGTTTCCCTACTCCTTGCTCGGGGAGGGCAGAACCCCCCACAGTGACACGTCGATTCGTGGATTGTCCTTTTTCGGTTCTCGAGAGGGCGCCGCGGTCGCTATCTTCCAGGCCTGCGCCCGCCAGGTTCGGGCCTGAGGTCGTTTTCACTAAGCCACGTTTTACTACAGGGATGTCTGTCCATCCCCGACTTGTTTTGCCGATCGGCGCGGGCCCTCGCACCCCCTACCCGCCCCCCCCCATGGAGTAGATCTTGGCTGTCTTTGTCGCCTGTCTCAGGCAGGTGGATTCTCCCCCGTAGGACGCCCTCTTGCAAACAGTCGCGCTCAGCAGATGTCTGGAGCCAGGCCCCCCCCCCTCCCCCCCCCCCTTCTGCCCAATGTCGAAACGCCGAATCAGAAAACGTTTACGAACGGGAGCGGTCAGAGGAGGGAAGGGTATCCCGATGCCGCTACCCTTGCCTCGTTTTCGCCTGTTTGGGCCTTCGGGGAGGCCCTCGTCGCCGCCGCCGGATTCGCTTGGACATTCTGGTCAGAACGTACCCCGGGAGAGGTCCGGGGAGCATTTCGCGGTATCGGTATTTTTTGGTTTCCCCAGCGTCGAGCAGAAAGGCTAATGCTAATGCAGGGTGCATTTCGATCCGATCAGTGTAATCCGGTCCGATCCGATTCGATTCCGTTGCTCCTTCGATCCGATATGGCCCGATGCTTGCATGGCGTTGTTGTGCCTCCTGTTGCAGCCAGTCCGACTCGATTTCGACTGCGTGCCGATGCGGCCCAATCCGACGCACATTCCCATCCGATCCGATGGTGGCCGATCCTGGGGAGGAGGATCAGGGCTTTGGCTTTTTTGTGGTGTGTGGCGGATGGGGATTTCGGGGGGGGGCCTCCAGAGGTATGCGCCACGGCAAGGACCTGCTGCGCGCACAGCAGCTATCCGCACGCTCTCGTGCACGCGCACCCATACACAGTCTCGATGCCTGAGGTCTGTATACGCTGCGAGCAAGCGGCCACTGAGACCGCGACCACCAAACGGCGAAGGACACTGCACCCTGCCAGTACCAGAATAGTTTGCGAGCACGCCAGTATGCATCACGGTCTTCTGGACTTTGCTGGTATCCGCGAGCACCTCAACGTGTTAATAAGCACCGCAGTGTGACTGCAAGCATGAGCAGCGCATGTATGCACAGTAACATGCTTGACCATGCAGTTACCACAATACTACAATCCTTTTCGAGCGCCATTGCCTGTGAGCGCCACGATAGCATGTGAGCGCTACATCGTGCCTGCGATCACCCGTTTGGTAGCGAACAACGGCAGCTCATGCATGCCGCATGAACAATATCCGGTGGTCTTGGGACCAGCCCGCCACCATGCCTGGGTTGTGGTTCATATCGATGGATGCATCTCGGGTCTCTGGGGATGCCACTGGGGGGCCTCTTGGAGGGTTCTTAGGGGGTCTCTTGGGAACTCTTTGGAGGCAGCTTGGGGCATCTTTTGGGCCTCTTGAGGACCTCCTGGAGGCCTCTTTGGGCATTTTAGGGGCTCCCCTCGGGCCTCTGGGGGGATCTTGGGGCCATCCTTGGGGCCTGCTGGGCCGTCTTGGAACGTCGGGAGCCCGAATAGGCGAGATCAACTGAACCAGCGATTTTGGCCTTCTGGGGTCCTCTGGGGCTACTCTTGGAGCCCTGCATTTGGGAGGCATCTGCGGTCGTCTTCAGCATATCGTGTGCGTATTGGAGAGCTCTCGGGACCTCTTGGCTCTTGGGCTCTCGCGTTGCAGTGGCGGATCTCGATTTGCGAACGATACGACAGCCTGCGAGTGCCACAACGTCATTTTGAGCACCACAGTGAGCTTGCGAGCAGAACGCGCACATGTATGACTATAGTCTACCGCATCCTGCTCGGTACCACAAAAGCCTTCGATCACGACGATGAGGTCGCGAGCGCCACAACAGCCTGCATGAGCCACAACGTGCCTGCGAACGCCACAGGCAGCTTATGAGCGATCAACAGTGTCACACGTATGCACACCAGCATGCCATGTATTGCAAGCGTCGAATGACCCTGCCAGCACCACACGTGCCTGAAATCATTTCAATTGCCTGCGAGCAACACGTCGTGCGTGTGGGCACACACCTTCCTTGCTTGAAAGTTTTGCAGTGCATGCATGTACAGCAGTTTGCTGGACCCTGGACCCCGCACCGTACCGCAGTAGTTGGCGAAGACCGCAAGCACTGTGGTTGATAACACCACAGTAGCGCAACGTCAACATAGGTGTGACCAGCACCGTGCGCATGTTAGTAGCACGATTACAAGTATGCGATCACAAGTATGCGGGCCAGATTGTCGAAATATACCAGGTCGGTAGTAGCCTGCGAGCGCCACAACTCGCGTGCGAACACCACGGTGTCGATGCGCTGTGAGCAACAGCATCACACGTATGCACAGCAGTAGACCAGACCCACCGCACGCTTGCGAGCATCACAACCGCCCACGAACACCTCAATATGCTTATGAGCGTCAGCCCTCGCCCGCCTGCGACTAGCATCCGATCAGATATGCACAACAGTATGCCAGGGCCTACCAGTACAGCCAACACCTCCAAGCACTTCAGTGTGGCGTTGAGCACTGCAGTGCGTCCGCGAGCTGCATATTTGCGGGAGTGTGCCACCATTCTTCGCGGGCGGCGCTGTCGGTGGGTAGTGCCGTGCCGCGCGGCTCAGGTCGGGTTCGAGCAGGGGGACGGGAGGGGATCCTCCTCCTCCTCCTCCGGGAGGGGGGGGGGGCAGGAGGACGGAGGAGGACAGAGGAGAGGGACATGTTGGATGCGATCGCGCCATATCAAGCATCCTACCTCCTCCAGTCGTCCCTTCCCATCGTTCGGAATGTTTCTTGATCCGCCTGCTGGGGTGCCCTGGATGGCTTTGATCCTGAGCATGATCCCGTCGTGTGATGCGCAATCATACGGGAGGTGTTGTACAGTGGAGACCCATGCCAAGCAACACCCTGCTTGCCTGCAGGGTGCCCTGGGTTTCTTGACTTTGGATGGCTTTGCGATGGAAAGCGTGACATCACCACACCGAACATCAATGGACGTCCTGGGGTCTCAGGGTTGGGTTTTCTGTGAACGATTTTTTGTGGGCGGGCCTCCATTGTACACCTGCCGAATGAGAGGAGGCGGCGGGCGGACACGAGGAGTAGTATAACGATGTGGTTGGAGGAGGAGCAGCAGGAGCGGCGGGCGCAGGAGGAGCAGGAGGAGGAGGAGGAGGACAAGGAGGAGGGGGAGGAGGAGGAGGAGGAGGAGGCGGTGGGTGAGGAGGGGGGGGATGAGGAGGAGGAGGAGGAGGAGCAGGAGCAGGAGCAGGATGACCAGGGGAAGGCGGAGGGGCACGGCAACGACGAGAGAGCCATCGGATCCAGAAATGTGCCCCGCACTGGGGCGAGAGCGCAACTCCGAACAATTTGATCCTCGCGCCAGCCCTGAAATGCGGCAGACGTTGCAGCGGGAACATATGCGCTTCGGACCGAAGAAAGCCCGATTGAAAGCAACATAGGACAACGAAACGGTTGAACTCCTGCATGTGGGAAGCCCCACATGCGGGATGGATGGCACCCCCGAGCAACACAGTAGCAGGGACGAGAACCCAGTACATAGTTACCATATGGTGTAACGGAGGAGAGCCGAGAGAGAAAGAGCGCGAGCGAGAGCGAGAACAGAGCGAGAGAGAGAGAGAGAGCGAGAGAGAGAGAGAGAGTAAGAGAGCGAGAGCGATAGAGACAGAGCGAGAGAGAGAAAGAGCGATACACATGAACAGAAGTAAGGCAGACTAAGAGAGAGAGAGAGAGACAGAGAAAGCGACAGCGGCAGAGAGAGAGAGAGAAAGAGGGCGATTCTACAAAACGTGTACGTGTATCAATGTTTCGGCCAGCGAAGACCACACATGGTGTTTTCTAGCAATATCATTTGTACAATCCAGGCGGCTATGTGGTACGATATGTTGTGAAATATACGTGGTGGAATGTAGAGGTTGTGCAATATATTTCGCGCAGCCTGCGCAGTTCACCATATGCTGTGCAAGCTACGTGGTGCTGTCGAAGTGGTGTAACCTAAGTGTTGCAATTCACGTTGACCGTCTTGAAGCTGTCCTCTCCACTGCTCGTGCAAACATCCCACCCTCCCACCCGCAACTTGGTCGCACGACCTCTTAAGACAAGACCGTAACGGTAGGTACCGCATGGCACTTGGCCACGACACCGACGCCGACGACGACAGCGACAACGATGACGACGGCGCCGCCGACACCGACTACGACGACACCGACGACGTCTCCAACGACTTCGACGACGACAACGACGGCGACGACGACGACGACGACGACACCGACGACGACACCGACGCCGACGACGACGACGATGACAACGCCGACGACGACGACGACTCCGACGACGACGCCGACGCCGACGATGAAGACAACGACGACGACAACGACGCCGCCAACGAAGACGACGACGTCGACGACGAGGGAGGTGGAAGGACGACGACGACGACAACGACGAGGGAGAAGGGAGGACGGCGACGACGCGAACGACGAAGAAGGAGGGAGGACGGTGACGCCGACGACGACAACGACGAGGGAGGAGGGAAGACGACGACGACGGCGACGAAATAGGAGGGTCGACGACGAGACACCGACGACGGACCACGACGTCGAGGGAATAGAAAACGACGACCACGGCGACAACGACGACGGAAACGACGACGACGCCAAGACGACGACGACGAGGAAAGACAGAGAACGACGACGCCGACGACGACGACGACAAGGAAGGAGGGAGGACGGCGACGACGACGACGACGCAAGAGCGCGCGCGCACGCTTTTGTTGAAAATCCGTGTTGCGAAGCCTTGTCTTTTTTGTAGGTTTTTTGGACACACGATTTTGACATCCTTCCGAAACCGATGGGTTTTGAAGGATTTCGGCATACGCGCGCGACGACGCGCGCG